CTCTCCTCCAGTGAACTCGGGCCAGGCATCGTGCATGGATGTTCCAGAACGCGAAACAACATGCCTGCCCCAACAGAAGCCTGGAGGCTGCCGGACACACGGATCACACCCAGTGGCATCTCTCGTGTGCCCGTGCAGAAGTGGGGTGAGGGTAGGAAAGAGAACCAGGAGGTCTGAAAACAAGTGGTCTGCTTTCAGACGGTGTCCAGAGGGGAGGGCGCCCTTGACAATGATTCCATGAGAAAGGGCGTCTGACTCTCCCCAGGGCCTGGGGAGTCTTCGCAGGCGGGAGCTCTGTTCTCACCAGCAACAGCTTCCCGATCTGCAAGTCCAGCGGGCCATCGGAAGCAATGTCGCCAGCTTCCATCACCAGCCATGCCCCTAACATCTGGTGCTAGGTCTGTGGTTGCCTACAGGTGGATGTATGTATACATGTGGCTATACACACATGTGCGGTCACACATACAACACACAGGTATGATGCCATATAGAATCATTTTATGTATGCATGTATATGCATGCAGACATAAGTATGATTTTAGATGGGTATATTTCTGTATTTTAATGGTCTTATAATTTGTATGTAAATGTGTATCCATGTATTGTACATTTCTGGTTATGCACACATATGTAGTATTTCTGTGTAACACATATGAGGGGGTACCCCCCAAAACAGAATTATCTTCTGGAGGGCAAGTCCCTTGTAGTAAAGGCTTCTCCCACTTGGTGAGTGTTCTAAGAACACTCCTGTATCGGTGTACCAGCTGGCATTGTTGTGAGAGGCTGCATTCGGCTTCAGTGACTTTTTTTAAGACTTTCAACACATTTGCCCATTTCATGATGGGTGACTTATGAGCTCACCTGCCTATACTATGCGGAGGGTTCAGCAGTTTTTGACTAAAAGTAGCACGACCCCTGTGCCCCATCTCCCTATTCACCTGATCTTGCACCAAGCAACTTTTTTTTGTTTGTTTCCCTGGATGAAAGTCCTCAAAAGGCAATGTTGTGCTGATGTGGAAGAGGTAAAACAAAGAAAGGCAGAAGCACTAAAAGGTGTCAGAATCAACGAATTCAGAAACTGTTTTCTTTCCCAGGGAGCCCTGGGAAAACGTCTCAATAGGTATATTGTATCAAATGGAGAGTAGGGAAGGGGACTGGAGTTTAAACATGTGAGAGTAAAGACACAGTTTTTCATGAGTTCCACTTGGGGGGCTCCCTTCGTATGTGTGTGTGCACACACACAGGAGGACGCTTCTGGAAGAAAACGGGAATTTCTGAGGAGGTTACCTGGGAAGAGTAGGGGTAGGCTCTTGGGAAAGGAGCAGGGAAGGGTACGTTTGTATTTCATCACATGGTCTTTCTTTCCCTGTGTGCTTACTACTTTTGCAACAACAAAAACACTTTTATTAACATTTGCTTCTACAGAGGACGCCCTCAGCTGCCTTGCCCTGGCCCCCCCAAGTGAGCTCCAAGTGCATGTGGGGTCCGAAGCCCCTGCTGCAGGCTCGGCCCGGCCAGGCTCCTTACCTCCAGTGATTTAAGCTGCTGTTTTTTTCCCACATCTGCTAATCTGAGAAAACTATCGCAAATGAAGATCAAATGAGAAGACACACATGACAGAGTGACAGTGCTTTGCAAACTGTCGTCTCCATGCAGGTCCCGAGAACTGGCTCATCAAAGATTGCCCAGAGCTGTCCCCCAGACCTCTCCCCAACACTGGCATCACTCGGGCCTGGTGTTCTTCATGGGCCCTTTTCCCAAAAAGTGGGGAGGCTGTGGCATAGCAACCGGGAAAGTGGTGGGAGCAGGAAGTAAAGAGACAGAGGAGAGGGGGCAGTGCCGGCCAAGGGAGCAGAGGGTGGGCTGGAGGCGTCTTGCATCAGGGGTCCTCTCTGCCCTGAGGCCTGAGCTGCTCTCACTCGCCCCTGTTCCCTGTTGTGGGCGAAGATCTTTGCTGGGATGAGGCAGGATCATTCTAGAGAGTTTCATGAGAGTATCTTGAATTCACGTCTCTGTGTCCAAACGCTGAGCCACCTTCCACTGTCGCACTGGCCACAGTCCTTCACTGACTCTCTTGAATTCTCTGGTTTTACTATTAATCCGACCACCCTGTGTTGAGTGTCTCCTGTGTGCCAGGACGTGCTGAGTCCTGGGGAGACAGGATGACTGCAGCATCTGAGCGCCGGGTCATGCCAGGTACCAGTGGGTGAGGACGTGGGAGGAACCACTGCCATGCCACGAGCAAACCTCGTGCCTGGGGACTGGCTCTGCACAGGGAGGAGAAAGTGAAGAGTAGGGAGGAATGCGCTAGACAGAGGGCTTGTCAACGGAGAAGCTGGACTGCGCGTGCGCGAACCAGAGGACAGTGAGGGATCGGACTTGGCTGACATGCAGAGTGAGAGCAAAGGGTCGGGCTGGGCAGGGTGCAGTTGTCAGTGACATTCCGTGTCGTGTGAAGGAGCTCGACCTCTGCCCAGTGGGCAGCAAGGGTCACGGATGGTGAGAGTCAGCTCGTTTGCTGCTACGCCTCCTGTGAAGGAAACTTACATATTTGCACAGTTATTGTCCTTAGCAAACTGATAACTTACTCAGAATAAGGACCGTTTCAACATACTTATTTCTGTCTACTTCTCTCAAATAACTGATTGGCCACTCAGTATTGTTGGGCATAAACACAACAGGAATCCCAAACGTGTTTGGGAGTCGGAATCCCCGGTCTGGACCTGGGCCACAGTTACATTTGTCGGCTGGAGCGTTGCCCTCAAACTGAAAGGTTACGGGTTCAGCTGCCGGTCCAGGCACTTAACAGTCCCCAGGCCAGGCCTTCAACGGAGTCGGCCAGTCAATGCTGCTTTCTTACAGCAATGTTTTTCTCTCTCCCTTCCTCTCTCTCTAAAAGAGGAATTAAAAAAATGTCTTTGGGTGAAAATTTTTAAAAATTCCAGTTTGATGAGTTGATGAAAGCTAGTATTTTTCTCCCATAAAAATGCAGATACAAAAAAAAAATTGTGTATGATTCCAGGAAGTTCAAGGAACTCCTCTAAAAATTCCTGACTTCAAGGGTTGTATACACAATCAAATTACACTTTTGATTTGACAGGGCTTTTTTTTTAAAAAAAACAAATTATGTGCAGAGTCTTAGGTACTTACCATAAACCTCATATTATTGGATTCAAAAGAACAAATTTAAAATCTGATTTCAGTGAAAAAGTCTGAGGCCCTCTCCCAAATGCAGAGTGGAGTGTTGAATTTTCTTCATGTCTTGATGATTAAAAGAACTCTAACTCATATTTTCTTAATATGGAGAGAGTCCTAAGTGATTTTAGGATTCCCAAACAGGAAAGAGAAAACAGTCCTTTAAAACAAAGTGAAATCAGCAACTCTCACAGGTCAAACAGTCCAGTACCTTTCCGTCCTTCTCCCAGAAAGGCTGGGGTGCATCTGGGACCCCGGGCATCTCCAGCGGGAAGGTGGGCTGCCCTTCAGAAGGCGGTGGGATTCCTCCGTGAATTCGCAGCCCCTTTTGCACACGGCACTCGGCTGCATCCTATGGAAAAGGGTCTCTGGGCTTTCCTGTTTGGCACCTGCAGAGAGACCTGGGGTTCAGGTGGGTGGGGGTTGCTGTACTGGAACTTTCTGTGGCAGGAGTGTAAAGAACAAGAGTCATTGTGTGCCTTCTAAAAACCCAAATAGGATATCGGGGTGGGGAGGTGTGTGGACTGAGACAATGAAGCCTGATTTTATTGAAAAATAAAACGATTTTGTAAAACTGTCGCTTTCCTGCTCACATGGGAAGAACCCGATCTGGTGACTTGATCTTGAGGTTTGTCGGCGGGTTGGGGTTAGAAAGCTGGAGGAGTGAGAAAAGCAGTTGTGAAGAACGATGGGTGGCGGAGGACAGGCAGGGGAGGGGAGCCCCGGCCGCTCCCCACACTGCAGTCCCCCCAGGGGCAGGTCTGCTCGGGAGGCCGGTGGAGGACCCTGGCTGACAAGTCTGAGCTCACCCTCGAGAGCTGCCCTCGGTACTTGGTCCACAGGGGCCTTCAGAAGTGTCTGTGGGCAGAGGCAGGGCTTCAGGAGGAAGCAGAGTGCTGGCTGTCCAGCTGCCTAGATCGCCAGGTGAGAGCAGAGTGAGCTCTGAAGCCAGGTTGCGGCCAACCCTCAGGAGCCAAGGTGCCGGAGGACGCCCTGGTCTCAGACCAGGCTGGTGGAGCTTAGACCCGTCCCACCAGCCTCAGACTTCAGAGGCAGAGCGCCCGATCTCAGAGGACACCAGCCAGTGCATGGCCAGGGAGGCCCCAAAGAGCGTAGGAAGGCCCCTCGCACAGCCAGGTGCTACCCGAAAGCAAAGAAAGAATTCTGAAAATCTGAGCATTCATGAAGGACTGAATCACCCCAGAAGAAACCATCGAAATCACTCCCGCTTGATGGTATCATATTGCATTTGAATAGATTGGAATCGAGATCCAGAGGGGACTGTTGAAATCCTGTTCATGTCGGTGTGTCTGAACGTCCCCTCCTCCGACAGGACGGGGCTCATCAGGAGGGCGAAGCAGCCGCGGGGAGACGGGGAAGCACCTTCTCCCCGCACACGCAGTACGCCTTGAGGGGGCTCAGGCCCTGCTGCACAGTTCTGGCATGAATTCGGGGTGATCTCCGACTGGTTCCTGTCTTTGGAAAATGACGGGAAAAGTCCAGATTTTACTTAGCAGACATAATTTCAAATACACTAGACAAACACTATCGCTTGTGCTTAATAAATCATCGACTTCTCTGTTACGAAGACCCTAACTTTTGTGTGTGTGTGTGTGTGTGTGTGATACCTACACGTAAAGATCTTAATAATTCTGTATTTCTTTTTTTTTTGTTACATTTCCTGTGTGCCGAGCTGGGGTATTTATTCTTCTGAATGATGCAATGGGTTAACAAGATAATGGGAAGGAAATCTTTCAAGGTACAAGGACCTTGACAGTACAATTTGTTTCGGTTTGATTAAACAGATGGAATTCCACGCAAGCGGAAAGTTGTGCAGGCGGCACCTTAGCACCCGCACCGGCCTTGAGCACCTCACGGGTAAGTTGCTGCAGTGAGGGGCGCTGCCCCGGCTTCTCGCTCCTCACCTCTGCCAAGGACCCTGCTGCTCTGAGCCCTCCTGTTCGAAATCCGGGTTTGGTGACAATCAGAAAGCTGTGATGTTTTTACTTGTGAAAAGCCGCGGCTCCTAACCATGCGAGGCGGGAGTGGGTGATTGCCTAGAATCGACTCATACGTTCCTTGAACGCTTCTCTCAGAAAGGCCGTCTTTGATTAGCGCGCAGAGGAAGCGCTGGGAGCTGTGGTGAAGGTGGGAGTTTTACTCTGAAGAAAAGCTGCTGAGCTTGGTGATAAGGAGGACTCTTCCTTTTGTCTACAGATGTTACGGAGATGTCAAAAACCAGCCCAAACTTGGAGTGTGATATTTTGGAAAGTTCGGCGTGACCTAATTTTGATTAACTGGAAATATTTCTAATTAGAGGTGGATGTATTTGAAGGGAGAGATTGTGTAAAGGACACTTTCTTTCCAACTAATTCTGTAGTGTCGATACAAGAATTAATGAGAATGCTTTGAGGATCCCAATTTAACTTTCTTCTTTAGTTTAAAAAAGATGTAAATCTTGTCTATTTAACAAGAATCCTCTTTTCTGCTGAGCTGCATTTTTATAGCTTGCAGAATTGGGGAAATCAGCACCACAGTTAATATTTTGACATCCTAATAAGCTTAAATATGTTATTTTAAATAGAGAAGAATGTCCAACGTAAAGCAGAGATGTGCCTAACATTCGCGGGTGTCTGCGGTGGAATGAGGGAGAGCGGTGGGAGGAGGGCCTGGTTGGAGGGGCGCCGAGAACTCCGCCTCCGGGCTGTAACGCCTGGACCTCCGGCGTCCTCTCGGGTTCCCTGAAGGTCTGCTGTGTAGTGGCACGAGCAGTTTGTGGCCAAAGAAAGTGCAGGCTGTCTAACGACATGCCCTCCACCGCGGCCCACCTTGCTCAGCGCAGCAGGCGACCCCCTCCCGCAGACAAGGCCCCGGGAAAACACTGCGGGCAGCCAGGCCAGTGCTGTGAGCTGCCCTAGCTTCGCCTGGGACACCGTGCCAGTGTCGCAGGGACGTGGGCAGGGTCCGCCCGGCTGCGAAACCCACTGAGCTTTCTGCCGTGTCTCCTGCGTTCATGGGAGGAAGGGCTGGGCCTTAGGAGACTGTGAGGAGTATTAAGCAAGGTCAAATGGGTTACATGCTGCGTTCACTGCCTGGATTGCACCGCGATTCTGAGACCCCTTCCTACGGTTTCATAGGTGACTGAGTGAGCGCATGCGCACTGACACGCTCCAGGGCTGATCACAGGTGCCTGTGTTCACCCTCGGGCTTGTGCGCAGGGTGCAAGCAGACTGCTGGGTGATGCGGCGGGGAGGGGGGTCCTTAGTGCCTACCCCACCTCACTGCTCTGGGAGCCTCCCCCCTCAGGCTGCCTTGCCCCGCCCACAGGCGTAGTTCACTTAATTCAGATGCGTGCTCGGAGATGCCTGATCGCTCTGCTCATCCCTAGAAAACCAAGTGTTTTAAATAGTTTAAAGAATAATTTGGAAATAAACCTCGGAGTGCCCTTCTCTGCCAGGGGCTTTAATTTCCCCATGCATTCTCCAACTTGATGAGGACAGTGGCGGCAGTAAGCATAGTGACAGCTGTCACTCTGAAGACCCGCAGTCCCCAGGCATTCAGCGCTAAGTCCTTTGCTACACGATCCTTTCTGCGGAGACGTGCGAGTTTTACTCACACGTGGCTTCCTTGATATCAACGGTTACCCCTTCCAAGCAGCATTCCTGGGTTATCCGGGCCTCCCTTTGAAGCAAGCTTTCTGAATGTTCCGGTTCTCCCAGCCAGAGGTCCCCTCACCTGAAGGGATCCCTTCAGCCACCTGCCATCTGCAAGAAATGGACCCCAGGGCACTTGGCCCCGTCCAGCAGTGACTGACTCTGTGTCTACACATTCTGTGGCATACTTTCCACACCCTGCCCCCAGTTTGGGGTGCAGGGAAAGCCACGCTGGCCCAGCTGTAGCCCTTCCTGTTAGCCCAGAGGGGTCCTTCGTGACACCTGTTCTGGGCCCGAGTCTGGGGGAGGCCCTGTAAAGTCTCTTAACTCCCACACCTTCTTCCATGTGCCGGCCCCACACAGGACGCCATTGGTCCCACCTCTCCCTGGTGGTGTCTGCACGTGTCAGTGATGCTCCACCAGTGGGCGGCAAGGATTTGTAAAACATGCAGCACCTGACTGTTTATTCTGGGGCACTGACCTCATAGCTCGTCCCCCCCAAAAAAAGTGAGAACAGCCAACACAACAGCTGTCCACTAATCAAAATCATACCTATTTTTGTCAGATCGGCGTACTTTTTTGGTGTGCTGCAGAATTTTGGTTGATGAATGTACGTGTGCCCTGAAATGACAAAGGTTGGGAATTGCTGGTGCACACGGACCCCGCTCTGTACCGGACACTGTCACGTTAGATAATCTCTGTCACTCAGTGCTCAGAATAGTGTTCCGATACCACGGGTGAGGCTGTGCCTGAGGCTCAGAGGCGTCAGATGGGGACTTTGCCCACAGGGACTCTGCTAGTGACAGCTGGGACAAGGACCGAGGTCTTCTGCTTTCCAGTTCAGGACTTTTTATTCTATGCGATTCTGCTTCCCATTCTGCGTGGCGACAATGGATATGTTTTCAGGAATGTCAGGAATCAAACAGTACCCTCTTGTATCTCATTCAAGTGCTCAGCACTGTGGAAAATGGCGGTCTTCTCACAATTCTCAGCAGTACGCATGCATGGCCGCGATGAGTGAGTTCATCGGGTGTGGAATGCTAAAGAACACTCAGTGCACTTTAACAGAGTGATTCACCACCATTACTGAGAAAATAAGCTGTGGGCATGATTCAGTGTAGAAAGTTCAAACGAAACCTTGAAGTAGACAATGTACAAATCACAAATAATTTTTTTAAAAAAAGAGAGAGCGAGAAAAGAAAAAAAAACCCTTTGTGGTTGCTTTTCTTACAACTAAATATCATTTTACTAGAAAAGGGCTTGGCCAACTTATTGATTCATCCTGGATGGATGCTTTTTTTTAATTTTAGATTTTAAAAAAAGACCTCATGTTCATTTTAATAATTTCCTTTCCTTTTCTTCTTAACCTTCTCGTTCTTTTTCTCCTGCTATTCGTTCCTCTCTTCCCCTTCCTTCTCCACTACCTCCTTCTCTTATTATTTTTTTCATTTTTGGAGAGTATTAAAATTAGTTAATACAAAGGAACCACAAACTGTACTACAAAATTAATAACCCTCAGAATGAATCTTATGTTTGGCTTCACTTGTCCTTCCTCCTTGTCTGTAGCTAACGTCCACGGTCTCTCTCCAAGGGAGGTGGGGGCACTCAAAGGGCCTGCCTGCCACAGTGCCCAGGACACGCACCAGGGCCGAGACACCATGAACTCACTCTTCAGGGAAATTTCCAAACTTGTGTCGACTAGGGTATCGCTGGGCATTCTCTAGAGAATTGGAACTAACAGGACATGTTTAAAGAAAGAGAGGGTTTAGTTGAAGGCATTGGCTTGCATGGCTGTGGAGGCTGGTGAGTCCCACAGCAGCAGAACAGACAAGGAAGAAGCGAGAGATGCGGGAGAATCAGTGTCGTGGTTTGGCCCAAAGATGACGGGCGTGCAGAGTCGCTCTTCTTTGGGCAATCGGCCTTTTTCCCTGACAGCCTTCGACTGCTGGGAGGAGACTGCCAGTTACAGAACCTGCCAGGAACCTGCCTTTCCTAGTGTCTCATGATTTACCCATCACTGTCCTCCAAAAATACTTTCACAGAAACCACCTAGAATAGTGTGTGGCAAAATTTCTGGGTGCCATGATGCCGCCAACTTGACACATGCAGTTAACCACCCCCGGAGGCCAGAGTCTCTCTGTGGGGAGATCGTCACCCGTGTCCCGTGTTCAGCCTCAGCAGAGTAGGTAGAGTGTCCCTGGTCAGCTGCGTCAGACACACTCCCCCTCTCTCCCTGGCTCAGCCGGAAATTCTTACGTTGTGTAAACCCAAGCCTGGTTTCCTGCACCACGGGGATTTAGAAAGGACACTCCTGCCTCGACTCCGACGGTGGCATTAAAAACCGGTCGCAGGTTTCCTGGCTGACAGATCTGGTGAAATCCTTCCCTCCCGGTTCTGAGGACTTGTCAGCTCCCACCCCACAGTCCCACCAGCAGTGAACTCTCCGTGTCCAGGGGGTCATCAGAAAGTCTTACAGTCGAACTGTTACAAGAACAGTTCTCTGTCGCTTCCTCCAAGCTTTAAGCTTCTAATACGGACTCATTCCTCACTCGGTCCCCCGTTCTGTCGGAGGTACAGGAATAGCCCAGTTGGGTCAGACATGGGGAAAGCAGACCCCTGTCCCCCCGCAGTCCTAAGTCACACCACCTTTCTGGGCTCCCCCCCGAAGAGCCACTGAGCCTCATCAGTCTTACCCTGACTCTTTCTTCAGAAACATCTTCCCAACTCCTAGGATTTATTCTAATTGGATATACGTGACCTCGGCCCATCCTGGAAGCAACCGCCGTGGCCACAGAAGCGTCGGTGCACTGCCTGACCACGCTTGGGTCCCAGGCTGTGCTCCTGGTGGCGGACATGGGACCTCGGCAAACAAGCGGACTGACGTCAAGGGAAGTGGATGTGCCAGAAAGAAATCGTGGGATTGTTTTGTTTGTTTGTTCATTTGTTTTATTTTTTAAGTCAGGGAAGAAGCAGGGGAAGATAGGAAATAGAGTCTGAAAATACCATGGACTTTTACAAATTATGAATAGACTATTTTTACTTTAGTGAATATCAGTCTAAATATTATTAGTCGTAGGTAAGTCTAAAAGGGCAGAATAAATCCATTTTCAGTACTGTGACTCTGCGATATCAGTAGACATCTGTTCCCCCATAAATGTAAGGAGTCACCTGTATTTTTGAGGTGGGGGGTTATTTGATGTGCCTGGTGAGAGCAGCTCTCTGTAG